GCATTTTGAGTCTTGTCACTGGAAATAAATCCCGTTTTGTTTTGGTTTTTTCAGGGGGAGGCGGGAAATCAGCCATTTAAATCTAGCTGGGAAGACACAATTATAAATTTCTGATTTATTTCTCTTGGGACACTTTTCAGCTAGTTCCAGTTTGGAGCGCATCAAGAAAAACCTGGCCGTTTCAGAGCTGAGCAAAACACTGCACAGCAGTGCCCTTAAAATCCAAAAAGAAGCCCCTGCCAAAGTTTACGAGCAACATTTGGATCTGATAAAGTTACAGGTGTGCTCCTTGACTGCTGCATTTCTGGGAGTTTGCCCATGCTTCCATTCGCTCTCGCACAAGGGGGGCAAATCCCAGGTATTGGGAGGCATGTGCATGAAAATCACAAGAAAAAAAGCCACAAGGAGCAGAAGGCAGAAAGGGAAGGAGCCTCTCTTGTGCCATGAAGGCTTTAAAGCTATTTAATTGTAGCCTGCAGTTTGCTGCTAGAGCGTCCTGTCCATAACTTTTAAGGCTCTTACTGCTGAGGTCTCACCTCATCTCAGGTTTAAGTGATGCTACGCCAAATCTGGGTCTTAGCAACACACCACTGCGGAATATGAGCACGCCCATTATATACCCTTTTTATATGGAGTTACCAAATTTATAGGTTGTCTACAAAACTTCCTCCCTTTTATCCCAGTAATTGCCTTTTCTAAAATTCACCAGGCAAGCGCAATAATTCAAATAACCGCCATTTCCCACTAACCTAAATGTTAAGCCTAGGCTGGCTCCTGTGATTCAGCAAATCTTTTCCAACCTTGCAGGTGTAAGAAAGATGCTGTTTAAGAAACTCTGCCTGTCTGAACCAGAGGTGCATGGGCAAGAGCATACTAGCTCACGGGGCACAGAGAGCCTCCCATGCCTGAATTCAGCCATTCACAGAGGCATCTTTTCATATTTTGTCATCAATCCTTGCTTCTTCAACACTGTGGTCATGACTAACTGCTATGAACAAGTGACAGTGGCAGGTGTGTGATTTTTTTTGGCCACTGTACACAACAAAGATGATCCAAGGAAACTCAAAGCCGATCAAGAGAGAGTCATGAGGGCAGAAAAAAATACGGGTTTGAGCTAAGCTATGTGTTTATGGATCTTGGTTCTCCCCATGCAGACTCCTAATGGGACACACAGGCAGATCTGGGAGGATGATGACAATTTATACCAACTAAGGAGCTGTCTCTTAATGCCAGTATCACGATAAAACTTTACTTTTCTCCTGCCCATTCTTAGTCTTGACTATTTGTGCTGCAAGTTTTTTGAGGCAGAAGATACTGCTTTCCAGACCCGTTTAGTGTTGTGGGATCACAAACCTAGCATGAGCTTCCAGGCAATACTGCAAGGCAAGTAATAAAATCTTTATCCTTCACTGCCTTCTCTGCTTCTTTGTTCTGCAAAGGAAGCCACCAAAACTAGAGCCACCAATTTATACCTGGAGTCTTCAAAAAAAACCAAAGCTCAGCTTTTGCATCCACATCTCTCTCAAAAACAAACCTTTTCAAACCCTGACCCATTGCAAAACATTCTCATTTTTCAAATAATAGAAAAGTAAAATTTCCAGCTGAAAAGAAAATAGTTACAGATGCTAACAAAGCTTACATTGTTTAGAAGATAGGAGGGCCTTTTCATAATGACATTAACCAAGCTGCAACCTATATGGGACCACATGATGCTCAGAGCTGGGTCCCAAACCCATCTTCAGGGAACCTGAATATTCATGAAAGCTGCAGCATCTGGAGTCACACTCCGGCTCCCGGGGTGGGGGTGAAAGCAGCACATTCCCACTCTCTGCGGCAGTCCCCACCTGCATTTCTTCCCTGCAACCACTAAATGCAAAGCTGATAAATTCCTACCCCTAATGTTACCTATTTTTTTTTCAAGTGCTACAGAAGCTACAGATGTTCTTGAGACGACACCCCGATCTTTGGCAACGCAACTTTCCTTGATGTGCAAAGCCCTGCATACCTGTGTGGCCTGAACTCATCGAGTCTCCGACGCTCCCCAGTCTGTGGGGTTATCAGTGCTAAAACAAGGCTTCCATCCACTCTTACCGTGCCAGAGCTAATGCTTCGGGAAAGATCAGCATGTCCCTTTTCAAGCATTAAACGGGGAAGTTGCTCTACGCATAAACTGTAATGGCAACAAGAAAACCAGCCCTATGCGATGCGTTCTTCCCTTGGAGATAGGAGGGGAGGAAAGGAGCAGGTGCCCACACTTACCGGGTGGTGGAGGGAGCTGGTTCCTGCTGTGCCGGTGGAACAGGTGGCTGAGCTTCTTCAGCAGCAGCACACGAAGCCCAAAGACCAGAAACCCCCAGATCGATGTGCTCTGCAGAGCATCTCCACCGCTGCCAGGTCCCGAGAGCAGCTATTGCCATCTGGTGCTGATGCCAGCCCTGCCGCTGCCTTTTTCCAGAAATACGGAGGCACGACACAACCCTGCAGCCCAGAGCCCTCCGGACATCCTCTCACCGGGCCCCTACAGTGCGGTGCCTTCCTCCAGCAGTCAGCGGAGCCTTCGCCAGCAGACAAACACAACCGAAATTATCCCAGAGGCCGTTTGGATGCAAAGGGCTGCTGGAGCTAAGGGGCAGGATGGTGGTGTCAGGGGAAGGGGACAGCTGCGGCAGATTTGGTCAGCTGAAAGCAAAGCTGTGGGGCACCTTCCCAATACTGCCAGATCAAGGGAGAAGCTGCTTCTATTTCTGGCCCATCACATTCCAGTTTTGGGGAGAAGCAGGGACCGCAGTGTCGGGAAGGCAACCACTCCCCACCACCAAGGCATCTGGCTTCAACCAGTGCAGCTCCTCGGCAAGGTACATGGCCAAGGGACCTTCCCCATCCTCCCCCTCTGCTCTCCAGATTACTACCTTATTTTAAGAAGGGAACAAAATTGTTTAGGATCTAACAAAGAAGTTAACCCAGGAATTTCTGCCCATTAATCACTTCATGCCACGCTCTGGGGTTTTCTTTTGTTCAAGCTACAGAGAAATGTGAGGCTGGGCACTCCTGGTCTTGGAGGGAGGCACTCACAACATTTCGATACTACAGGACTTTACGAAATACACGATTTTACAGTAATGGCATTATGGTTGTGTAACAAACTGTTACAGGGGATAACACAGCACCATGCAGCTTGTCAGTGGTGGATCAGCACCAAGGAGTGTTTGAAGTTCGCACAACAGCAGTAGCTGCCAAGGGCAGGGATGCTACAAGCACAAGGAGGGCTCTCTGGAGCTGCTGGTCCCAGGGAACCCAGGGGAAGCTTCAGCATGGAGCCACATCCCCACAACAGATCCAGACTCTTAGGAAACCAAAAGCAAGAGGCAATGGAAAGAAGGAACCCTGGAAGAAGCATTTCCAACACAGAATGACTGACTTGACGTGGCTCAGAGCTGGCCACGCAAGCATAATTTCCCCCTTGCCTCTATTAAGATAATTAATGTTAAAAACACTCAGTAAAAGACCTGCGACCTTGAAAAATGAATACGTTTTCTGCAGCGCGCCAAGATTGCTCTCTTCTTCATCTCAGCAGAAAGCCTCCTTTGCTTCCCTCTGTAATAAAACTGGAAGAGTCAAAGCTGCAGCTGGCCGGACCATGAGATGGGACGGAGGGTCGGAGGGTCCCCCCACCCTGGTAACGCCAGGGTGCCAGGCACCGGCAAGCAGAATGGTGCTCAAAGGTACCGAATGCACCCACAGCAAGCACGGAGAGGAGTTCCTGGTGTCTCAAGCTTTTATTGCACAGAAGGAGAAATAAATAACCTAAAGCTGAAATGATCAGAGATGAAAGGAAGGTAAAAGCAGTGATTTCCCCCTCCTTGCAGCATCAGAACTGACTTGTAATGCTGGGGCTTGCCTCAACCCAGAGCCCTCCCTCGCACCCCTGCGGGTCCCTGCTGGGACCGCTGCCTGCAGGCAGGACAGTGCTCAACAGAGGGGTTTCTCCCTGGGGAGCAGAAGAGATGATGATGGGGGTCTCCATGTAAGACCTCAGCCCACCCCACAGCCACTGCCCACCAACCCTAAGGTCTGCGCAGGAAATCCTGCAGCATTCCCAGCTGAACCTCCCGCACCCCAAATCATGGCAGCAGGAGAAACGGCTCCTTCTGGGAACTCACTATGGGACGGGCTTTAAGCAAAATAAGCAAAGATGAGGCTAAACGTATTTTGTTAAGGCGCTTCTGAATCATCCGTCCCTTCAGCAGATGCTCTGTTTGGACACAGCTATGTTGTCAGGTCCCAGATGTCACGTCAGAAAGGATGGGAAATCACTATTAACAGCTTCTAGGACATCATTTCACAGTTTTACAGGAGAGGTCATTATAGTGCATTACTGCATTTAAATGTGCGATTCCAGTTGTGAATACATTTCATAATCTTCTTGCACTTGCCACTGATTCTGGCCTACTGTCTAATGCCTTAAAGTACTTCCTAAAACCTTGGTAATTGAAATGTTGAGGTAGAAAATTACTAGATTACAAGCAGGCAAATTCATGCCAAAAGGAGAAGTGAATTGACCTGGAAGGTCGCATCCATCCGCGGCACAGATGGGAGCAGGGCGCTGGCTCCTGCTGCCGAGGTCACCGCTCCCAGGCACAAAGCATCCCCAGTCACCCAGAGGACATTTGAAATGGGGTGTTGTAAGCTTTTATAGTGGTGACGGTCTTTAGAGCTCAATAGCGCTTATAATTGAATTCTCTAGAAGGATTATATTGTCCTCAGTAACTCATCACTTCCCTGGACTGGTCCTTTCATTTGCATTTTTTCCCCCATTTTGGGTTAAGATTTGAAACCCAGCAATGTTGTAGTTTGCATAAACAAACAAGCCTCCGATATATAAATAACTATTCACATCATTTTCATATACATTCAAGTATTTCACAAGGCACTGTGGCAGCCATTAGCATTTCTAAACGCTTCTTGAAATGACGGCTTGATTTTTTTTCTCTTTGTGTCCTTTACTGGAATTGACTCCCAAGCGCCTTTCTGCTGATAAGTGAGGACTGGTGATAGCGGTCCCGCGAGGCGAAGTCTGCGTTCTCCTCGGTGAGCTGCGTGGTCTCCATGCCAACTGTTGCAAAGGATGGTGTCACCACGATCTGCTCCTTGGGAGATGGCTTTCTCCTGCAAACAGAGAAGCAGAGGCGCCTGCATCACCCCTTGTTTGCCATCCATTAGCAGCCGTGCCCTCGGCTGTGCGAACAAGGCAGAGCGCTTTGAGAGGAGGCTAAATCCTTCTCGGCGCCTTTGGGAGGCATGGAGCTAATCTGAAAACATTTTTCTTAGAAGGCGTGCAAAAAAATATACTCTTTTCCCCAGCAAGCACTGGAAAATAAAAATCTTCTTATCAAATAAGTTTCTTCTTTGGATGTTGGCTATGGCAAACGCTTTCCACACTGTGCAGAAGGAGGAGCATGAACTATTTCTAATGAAAAATACCATTCTTATACTTTCCTAAGCTTTAGTGTACAATTCTTTTTGTAACTCTTTTAAATGAGAAAGGAGGTTTTCCTGCAATCTCTTTATCCCAGAGGGTGATTTAAAAAAAAAACCTTATTGCACATCTGCAAATCAAAACTATAAGAGCTTATAGCACCGACTCAGACCTCGCTGAGCACCTAAGAGCCTTAGAGGTGTCAAGGATCCTTGGTTGCCTCCAACTCTCTTGCAGTCTAATGAGTTCTCTTCTTTATCTCCAATTCATTAAAATACCTTGCCTGGATTTCAAGAAGACAGAACTCAGGAAAAAACCTATAAATTATTTCAAAGCAATTTCTTGCAGCGTAGCAAGGATGGGCTTCAAAATGACCCACCCGACCAGAGCCGAAATTGTCTTTGTGCCAGCATGAGCAGAAGCTCTGGCGTTAGGATAAGGCAACCAAGCTGGCTGGCTGACCCAGAGATTGCACTCTTTAGGGAGAAAGAAATAGGATCAGCTTCTGCCTTGGGCACTCACCAGCTCCCCACTCAGCCCTCCTCGGCAGAGTCTTTGCTCATCCATCGCACTGATCGAAGCACTAAGGACTGTGCCCATCTAGTAACCCACAGGACAAAATCTCCCTGCGACAACAGCACCTCTACCCAGGAGAAGCAAGGCTGCCTCTCTGGGAGGGACAGCTTCTCCTCTCCACACATGCTAACCCTCCATGAAACCTCACATCTCAGCCAGCCTCCTGTGGGGAACCTCTGACAACAGGCAGCAGACGGGGCTGAGACGCACCCAGGAACAACCGGGAGGAAAATCCTGCTCAGTCATCATAGCTGCACCGAGCTAAAATGACCTGCCCTGAATCTACCCGGACACTGAGGTGGAACCGGACAGAAAAGTACCCGGGACACGAAGCAGCCGGGTCTGACTCAACGTGCCCCAAGTAATTCTGGCAGTGCTTCAGCATGGCCCCACGTACCCTGTTCCCATCCTCACCCTTGGCTTGGGCTCATGTCACCCACCCAGCAGACATTGTGAAAAGGGGCAGGAAACAACCCTCGCTCCAGATGAGGTATGCAGAAAACATAGTGCACCCCCTCACTCTTCCTCTTCTGAGTAGTCTATCTAACCTGGGCTCTCATCCCCTAACGCTCAGGCAAGCGTGCAGCTTTACACAACCGCCGTGAGCGGCAGCAGTAGCTGTGTGAACAAAGCCTTTCGTGGCAGGAGGTGTGCAGGACAGGTAGGTCTTCAGGGACCCAGTGCCATACTCGGAGACAGCCACTGGTCAGGTAGAGAGAGGGATGGATGTGATGTGGGAGAACCGACTTGGCTGTTCTCGGCCATGCCACAGACCTGCCATGGGGACCTAAGAGAGGTCCCATCACCCCTGGCTTCTCTCCCAAGCCACCTCTGCTACCAAAGGCATGTGTCCATGTTACAGGGACTGTGGGCAAAGGCAGGAGCTGGCAAAACAGGCATGGGTATGTGCCAATGTGCTTAAATGCCTGGACTTTCATTTGTTTTAAAGGAACCACCAAATTTGCACATATAATGCACAGTAACTCGTGTTGTGCAGTCCTTACTACAGTGTTCACCCATCACAACAAAAAAAGCAACCCAACAGGCTGAGAACCTCAAATCCTACTGCACTACACAGAGGCAGAGATGGTCACAACCTGCTACGGGAAACCCAAACATGATAGAATTAATAATTAATAGGATCAAAACAGATTAACAAAACTAGTTAATAACCAACCACACCAAACCCTTAAGGTCTTCTGGGAAGGAAAACCCCAAGATAATGCAGTCCATTGCAAAATCAATACTGAACGGTTCCTTCACTGAAGACCTTGTTTATTGTATTTGCCTTGCAGCTACTGCCGCTTCCACCCAAATTTCTGTGAAACTCGAGCACAGCTGCCACGTGTGCCTGTTCCGCCACTACCATAGTAATTCACTTTCAATGGATGGTGAGTGGAAGAGATGGACTTTCCCATTTCTCATGTCTTGTCTCATTTTCCAGTTCAACTTAGGCCACAAAGGTTGAGCACAGACCTTTGGGGTAAGATAAAGCTTCAGGCACCAAGATATGGTTATCAGTTGCCCGCAAAAGGCAGAGGAGACTCCTGCTCCCCCATTTATGTGGCCACTAAGGGAAGTAAAGTTATTTTTACCATTAAGTAAGAATAACTTTAAGTATGCAAGAAGGGCCAGACAGACTGCTTAAGGTAATAAGCAAGTCAATTCTTGCACCCCTCTCTGTGCACATTAGTGGGTCACGGGAACAATGAGCACCGCCTCGGTCGCTGCCAAGTGACTGGTACCAACCTGCACGCGGTGATCAAAACCGACTTAATCCAGCCAAAGAAACTGAAATTCGCTGCTGCTCCTACAGAGAAAAGGCACGAGAAGTCAGTAGACTGCTAATTCTCTCATAATAGTATTAGGGCATTGAATTTTTGCATAAAATCTCAAACTAACATGCTCGTTATTAGCCTTCAGTACCCAAAGATTTTGTGATGGTGAGAACACTCCTGCAGTCTTCCCACACGCTGCGGCTTTTAAACGATTGTCAAGAAATGAACCCAAATTTCCCCCAGAGAACAGCTATCCCTTCCCAGACCCACAGCTTGTTAAACCCCGGTAAAGCCATGAGCAAAGCACAGCCACCCGCTGCAGTACCCCTTCCTCCCTGGACTGCAAAGATCATTCCCACTGCAGGGATGGGGAGACGGGAGGAACCATTCAGCCGACCTCAGCCAGGCTGGTTGTGGTCTCACCATTCATTCCCTCTTGTCTGACCCCATGGAGAGCTGGCTTAGCTTATTACACTGATATTATTATTCTTCTGATTTCTCTGTAGAGTTTGTTTCCTACACTGGCTCACTGCAGGGACAGGGAAGTGCGGGAGTTGGCAGCAAAAGCAGCAGGAGAATTTTGTGGTGAGGGACAGGGTGGAGAACAGAGACCTGGCAGCATCTGCTGGATTTGGCTTAGGCTGTTGGGGAGGAAGAGAGAGGAGAAAGGACGTGTCGAAATCCCAGGCCATTTCTGCTCCCAAGGTCTTCATTTAGCCCTTAATCCAAAGCATCTCTCAAGCCAGTATCTCCCAACCTTCCTAGACAGAAGGGTCATTCAGTCCTTTGGAGAACAAACTCACAGATCACTGGATGCCACGTGACCACAAAATAACTTTCACTCACAGCCAAATAAAAATCAGACTGAACTTTGAGTGTTCATCTCTAACCTTTTCTTTGCCGTGGATTGTTTTACTGTATGCATGAAAATGCACGTGCAAAAGAAACGAAGGGAAAAAAAAAGTCTAATCATGCTGCTATTCCTCAGATCACCTTCCAAAATCTTCTACACGCTGACTGAGAATCATAGAATCATAGAATCATAGCATCATAGAATCATAATGGTTGGAAGAGACCTCAAAGATCATCAAGTCCAACTGTATACCTGATGCCACCCTGTCCACTAAACCATGTCTTGAAGTACCACATCTAGACCTTTTTTGAACATCTCCAGGAACGATGACTCCACCACCTCCCTGGGGAGCCTGTTCCAATGCCTAACGACTCTAACAGTGAAGAAGTTCTTCCTAATGTCCAGCCTGAACCTCCCCTGGCACAACTTGAGACCGTTTCCTCTCATCCTATCGCTAGTTACCGGGGAGAAGAGCCCAATCCCCACCTCACTACACCCTCCTTTCAGGTAGTTGTAGAGGGCGATCAGGTCTCCCCTCAGCCTCCTCTTCTCCAGATTAAAAATTTCCAGACAGAAATTCTTTTTCAAGTCATTTTTTGTAAATAGTTCAAAAGCAGCTAACAGAGATATAATACAGTGAATACACAAAGGCGAAGAAAACTCCAAAGCCTGAAAACATTATTTGTGCTTTGTTTAATATATGGAGGCCGTAGAAAATTTTGTTAAAACTTAGATATATTTCAAAAGATACAAGTTAGCAAGTACTATCCACAGTCTCAGCTCTTTTCTATTATCCTATACAGATACACAGAAAGGAAGTCACTTCAAGAGTAGAAAGAGAAGAATTGTTGAGCAATGTTTTGATGGTTACTGAGATACAACTAGGTTTTGGTTTCTCATCATCTAGGTTTCTGAAATCTAGTACCTACTTACCTAGTGTCTAATAATCCTTCAGCTAAATAAACCCGGGTAGCTATTTCTGCATCGCCTAAAAGACATATAAACTCAGGCTCTTTTGACTTTTCTCATTTTGGACAAAAAATTGCACATCCACGCTTGCAAGTATTTATGCATGCACACACCTACATAAGTATGTACACACCTACATATCTACGTATGCATAAGTATGTGAGTAGGTGCACAGTGCGTGTGTACCTCCCCCTCCCTTCAGAGACCCAGACCAACGCAAAGCCCTCTTGCACCGTGCCAAGGAGCTGTACGCTCTCATGAGCTGCTTTCGGAATGTGCTTCACTGTTTAATTTTGAACTCGTTTAAGCCGATCACATGCACAGACCTTTCTAATGCCCTCTGCCTAAAAGTATTTTCCCAGATTATGTTCCCAACTTATTCAACTTGTTTAGTTCTGGAATCAAAAGACTCTCTTGTTCCCAGTTATGAATGCTGAGATTTAATGAGATACTTGTCATAATTCCCATTTTCCTTAAAGTTTTCTCAGGTGGGTTTAGACTAATTCATTAAGTTTATTAAAATGTATTTATGGCAGATTTTTCTCATTGCTGTGATGCATTTCCAATCTGCCATCCCTGTGAAGTCTTAGTATCTGGTTTTGCCATTTAAAGTACAATACAATAAAGCAATAAGCACAATGTTCAAACTATCAAACCAACGCTAGTTACAGTTAGAATGCAATATAAAATTAAAGAGTCAGAAAGAAAGTGTATTAAAACTAGCAATGAAACAAAACCTCATCATTCACTGTGTCACCTGCATACTAAACATGAGAGTCTCAATTCCTAATTAAGTTAAATTAAAGTTTAATGAATTTTTAAGGAGATTTAATAATACCACAAAAAAATTACTCACCAAGGGGGAGTCCTGGGCTCACTTGGCCAATGTAGAAATACAGAATAACCGCTGCAGCCAGGCTGACAAGGGTGTAGATCCACTGAATGACAAACATTATGATGAGGGACACGATCGCCTGTTGGAAAGACACAGTTTGGGGTTACGCCAGAGTCCATAAGATAACACGATGATGACAATCTGACAGTCCTTTTTCTGCAAAGCCCAGTGGCTCCATTGACCTCCTGCTCTGGCCCGGTGGGAGAGATGGCAGGGCAGTGCCTGGGCAGGACTGCTGACCTTCAGACACAGCCCGACGCCAGGTCAGCAGCTTGTTCCTCAACCTGGCAAGACGATCATGCATTGCGGCTCTAATGGAAACTCTAATCACTGCAGCAGCAGGGCTGGGGCTTTCAAGTTGTTATGAGAGCATCAGTAAATGCTCTTTTTTCTTTTTTTTTTTTTTTTTTGGTCACAAATGCTGCATCTTGGTTTGAAATGCATGCAAAACCAGTGCTTTGATGGCATCTCCGCACCTCCGTCTTTCTCAGGGTCTTGTTGGGAGTGTTGTTGTGTAAGAGATGTGCGCAGTCAAGACACAGGATGCAGCCACTCGAAATTATCCTAATGAGTGTTTCCTTTTCAGTGTCTCCCTCCTAATGATGTCCCGGGATGGGGACACAGCAGAGGCTCTCCTTGTGCAAGACTTGCTGCACAGCCCAGGTCCTGCCCGTGGGATGAAGGATGCCAGCTGCAACCACGTGGGTGAAGGGATGCTCTTGGGCATTGGTGGCTGAGGCCGGTGGTGCAGCAGGACCCTTGGGGAATCATGTCATCTCCTGCCTGCAAAACACTCCACGGTTCGTGGCTTTTGGCCGCAGGTAGAGCACTTCCACCCAGTGTTAGCTGAAAAGATCTGGGTATGGCATGGCTGAGGTTTCTCAGCAATGAGGTTCCAGTGTCACAGGGAGCCTCGTTTGGTCTCACTGTTAAAAGAAGGGACAGCACAGTTTACAGTGTCATCTTCAGCAGCATGGAGGTCGCTTTCCATGAGCTACCCTGAGTCCTAGAGGCAGTATGGGTCTCTGCTTGGGCTACTCCAAGAGGAGTATCCAGAGGCTCACCAGCTCAGGAAGTAGATTTAGCTCAAGGTGGCAGGGGTAGCATCTTCATGGGTGAGGTTAGGAACAGCAAGGGGTAGCATGCAAAGAAAGAGCTAAATGAGTCCAGGCTGACACGACCGGTGAAGCTCAAAGAGAGAAGACAGAGCGGAAAGGAGCCAGGATGAATAAATGCATCTGATTTTTGCTTCTGTGATTTTGTTTTGCATTGTTGATCCCTTCTCAGCTCTGCTGCAACCTCCTCCCAAGTCTGATTATTGACAGGAAACCAAATCCGCTTTAATGAACATGTCAGTCATCTCCATAAGCAAATTCCCCGCGGAGGCAGAGAGCTGACCGCTCCGTGATGACACGTGCTTGGGAGCCAAGGTAGTTACCGAGCCCAGAGACAGCAACAGCACGTAACCTCCTGAAGATGTCATGGCTAGAGAGGAGCCTCCACATCCATCCCACCCCTGGTGCTGCAGTCCGGTGGGACCCCTCGCCAGGAGCTGGCTGCTGGCAGCAGCAGCAGTGAATTTGAAAACTAAGTGTCAAACTCCATTTGAGGATTAAACTAAAAGGGCTCGGTGTGTTGTTCGAGTGGGTTTGTTACATTTTACGCACAGCTATGAAATCCCCATCCATGCAGCACAGCTATGCGGTTCATTCATTATGCACATCTGACCCTTTCCCTGTCATCTGCCCAATAATCCATCTTCCCAATATGAATTTAAATGTCTTAAACTCCTCAGCGGCTTGAGACAGAAGCTATTTAAAAGTTATTTATTCTTTAAAGTAACTTGCTGGAGGAATGCTCCACTTTCCTCTCTCAAAAGATGGAATTTCACAGCCGGGCTGCTGGTATCAGGAGGTCAGCACTAATGAAATCCCACCCCAAGCTTGCAGAAACTGGCTTATAAATAAAAGCAACACAGCTTCGAAGCTGACATCTCACTCCATCTCACTCCAAGAAAAAAGCAGGCTGGCACACAGTGAAAAGAGGGACACTGATTTTTTTTTCCCAACCAGTCATGCATCTCTAAAATCCTGATGCCAGACTTTGAATTTGTATCTTTTTGGTTTGGGCTGGGTTGTTTGTGTTTTGTTGGGTTTTTTTGGCGGGGGGAGGTGGGGTGCTGTTGTTATTTTAATTAATATGCCATCCAGCTTTCTCTGAATTTGAACTGCTAGATGCATGGTATCTCGAGTACTTAACTCAAGCGACCTGGAATACTAGAATCAAAAGCCATTTTAAAGTACTGGAGTGTATTTACACTGCAGTAAGTGACGAATTTCCTTCTGTTTTCTACAATCATAAATCAGTGCTCAAAATAAAAGAAAATTACTTACACCAGCAAAGGAAACCCAATGATTGCAGAACTTGGAGTAGAAGGATTCTGTTATTTGCTGAATTCCCAGCTCTGGATTTTGTTGCCTTATAGAGGATTCTACAGAAAAAAAGACATTAAAAAAAAAAAAAAAAAAGAAGAGACATTAGAAAAGAGCTATAACGTGGGGGTTTTTTTCCTCCTACTTTACATTACCAGATTCCAGAAAACCAAAGCAGAAATTCTAGTTGACAGCTGGATATGGCAGAGTTAAACCCATAGCTCTACAATGAAAACAGAAAAGAAGTGCAAGGAAAAAAACCAAAACCAGCCAGTTGCCAACTCTGGCACCGAGTCCATTCAAAGGCCACATCTGTCTACCTCTGCCTCAGTTTCCCTATTTGTGAAAAAAGAGAATTAATACTTTTCTCCCTCAGAGGGGTTTATGAAGCTTAATTGACTAGTGCTGACAAAACACTACAGCACTGAGACAACAAACTCCAAGCAAACACACGGTATCAAATACCCACATTGCCAACAAAACCAGTTCAGACCCTTAGCTGTGGATGTGGAATTACAGACTCCACCTGCGGCACAGGGACCACCACATTTTGATAGCCTGAGTTTTAGACTCGCACGGCTCCATGCCTCCTACCCTGCACCTGCATGACGTAAAGCCCAAGATACACTCAAAACCTTTTTAATGAACAGCGTTAAGCGTGCAGGTGTAGAATAATGAGTATATAGTAAACAACCCTGCACTAAATATAGTCCTGCCTGCTTTCCTGTGATTAATCTTCCATAGGAAATTGCATTGGAACTTCTCCTGTGATGCATTGCGATGAACTCTGCTTTCACCTGGAATAAATGATATTGCTATGAATCACCGAATGACAGCCCCATATAAAGCTCGTTTCACGCCTGCCTTCAGGAAAGCACAGGGAGGACCAAGGTTATAAACCATTTGCCCATGAGGATGGAGATGTCCATCTCCTACCGCCCTCACCTTCTCCCCTCTGGCCAGGGAGCACTGGCACCTCACTGCAGAGCTGCTCCCCCTGCTCCGGCAGCCCTGGTATCTGCTGGGCATCCACAGTGGGTGATGAGTACGGATCCGCGTCATCTCGACAGTTCTGCTCAGCCAGGTCCTGCCGGCTCTCGCTGTGGGGCTCCGCGGTCTCATCCACACCGTACTGAGCTGAGGGAGCATCATCATGGAGATCTAGGAGAAAGCTGTCTTGTAATGTCTGCTTGGCAGGCTTCTTTGCCTTCTTTTGTTTGACCTTTTGGGTTAAATTCTCAGCTCTTCCTTTTTTGCAAGCACCTGGCTCACTACGAAATGGTTTAAAAAGCTGGTCCATGTCTTTTGTGAATTCCAGTAAGGTGCCGTTCGATCTGCTTTGAATTACTCCATCTGCTTCATGGCTGGAGGGCTTGTTGAAAATCAAAGGCTGAGAAGAGTGAGCAGGTCTAGTGTTTTTCATCTGGGTCTCGTCAGGTTTCTGCTGAACGTTGTAGCTCAAGGAGACTGAGAAATAGGAATAGTCTACAGCAATATACGTCAACATGAAGATGATGGTGACTATGGGAGCAAGAACGTTCACTTGCCCAATGAAGACGAAAGCCATGGTGATGAGACTTGTTAAGCAAATTGCAGCCACTGGAGTCTTGTTGGGTCCTTTCTAGTTCATAAATAAAACAAACTTACATTTAAATTAATAATCATGAACCTCGCTGCGAGGATCCCCGACTTGCTCAGCTGCCATGGGTGGTTACCTGGGCAGTCTGCAGTACCCCCTTAGCCACAAAATACACGCACATATGTGCAAGCAGAGGCTCACCGGCTCAATAACTTAAAGAACAGGCTGGAAGCCAAAAGCTGTTGAGCTCCCACCTCACCCTTGAGCCTTACTCAAGCTTTGTCTTTGGAAAATTCATCCACTCTCACTCCCTATCTCCATGGTAAAACAATGTCACTAAAGCAGCAATAAACCTTCAGAGAGATTTGTGGGGCTTATGGGAAGTCTGGCAGTAAAACGTGTTAATTAGAGTTAACTGCTCGTCTCTAATTTCTCTACAGGACTCCGCATCGCTGCCTACCCAAAAGAATCCTGCACGGTGCCGCTGGAAAGGCTTCGGTTGCCAGACACAGTCATCAGGGAAGCTCTGCCTGCACGGAGCAGTGCCACCTCCCCATCAGCAGCTTCTGGCCCTGCCCTGGCACGAGGCTGAGCCAAATCCATGGTCTGACTTGGGGTTTCCCCTCCTTTCATCCACCCAAGCCGCATCTGCCCAGCAGCAGGAGGAAAGCAGCAGAGAGGTTAGGCAGCTGAGGATGCTGGAGGGTGGGAGTCAGCCCCCAGCGATGCCGGGCGTGCGTCAGGAAGGCAGGCAGCCAGGAGAAACACCCCCTGCTCTTCTCCTTTGGGGTGGGGTGAAGGCAGGGAAAGGAGGAGAAAAAGAGAGGCAAAGCAAAGAGCATCAGGGGTGGAAAGACTTGAGCCATCAGCTCATGAACTTTAATCCCAGATCTAACGTGCCCTTCCTTGGACCAAGCGCTGTCTTGCTGTTTCAGTATCTAAGAAGCCTGTGCAGGCTGTGTAAAGAACTCACTGGAAAATATCTTACAAGATATCTTACAAAATATCTTAGGTTTTCACTTACTGCGTGTGCTTCTTTAATAAACACACAGCTCAAATGGAAACTATTTCTATTTCCTCCACTCTTATTTATTAACACAAAAGAGAATCAGTTCTGGACCTTAAGCCTTTTCACAATGAAATAAAAACATGTCTCGGGACAAAGGAACACGGTTCTCAGAAAGCATCTTCGGTATCAGAAAGACATACTGAGACGGGGAACAGATGGGACAATCTCAGGATGCGTCTGGCTTGGGTTTAACTCTACAGAAAACACTCGTGTCCTTCCCATCAGCTGGGGTTATGGTGACTACAACGCTTTCTTCAACCACGGAAAAGAAGAACTGATGTGGAACAGATTGGTAAGGACAAATTAAATTTATTAACTCTCCATAAACCAAATCTAGACAATTTTCAAGGTGGAAGAGAGAAGGAAGGGGGAAAAGTGATCTGCCTTTGATTTCTCATCTCTTTTTGAGCCCTTCCCGTCATGGCACTCTGCCCAGACAGAGTTCAGAGCAGAAAATTTGACAGAAAGACAGAAAACTATCAGAGAAGAGAGGGAATCAACTTTGGAGTCAGCTTTGCCAAATCACCAAGAATTTCACAAGGGTTGCCAAGGGGAGAAGAGCCTGCTCTGGGATCACCTGACAACTGCCTTCAGGAGCTGGAAGTTTTTGCTGTCCTTATCGTTCCTGCTTCCCCTATAATTATTACTACTTATTACTATTATTGCTATTATTATGATTCTAATATTAGAAAATTACTTTGAAAAACATAAAACAAAGGATAGAAAATGGTTATACTTATAAAACATTTAAATTTTTAAAACATTCATAAATAGCAATATTGTAACATATTTTTCTGTATTTACAAGCTGCTCTGAAGGAGCAAAACACTGTAAGGTTTTTCCAGCCGCTCAGTACAGTTAGGTACTGCAGGTTATTGAGCGTGACAGAATTATTTTCTCCCTGTTTAAAAGAAGGGAAAACCATAAAAAATAGTTTGCTCTGAATATACAGCCCAAGACTACAGAGCCCTTAGTAACTGGTACTTTGTCTGATCTCAGTAGAATGACTCATATGAGTAAAAATTATTTGTGAGGACAAGGAAAAAGCCTCCTGTCATATTCAAAGCAAGACTTTATTTCAAAGCATACCTAAGGCTCAGCAGCCCCCTAACTTAACCTTTCAAATCTATTCTTTGGTTTTACTTCATAGTGTCCAAAAGGCACCTTATCTTACAAAGAAGTGTCCTCTCCTGCAGTGCCCACAGACTGAATCCACAGCACCAAGACTAGTCATGTACTCAGCTATGAGGTTACCAAAGAGGATAGGAATGGCTAAAAGAAAATGTGTGGGAAAGAAGAAGAAAAAAAAAAAAAAAAGGAAAAAAAGATAAAGAGGTAGTTACCATCCGTTTCACCAACTCCTTGGACAAAAGCTTCAGGCCTCTGCCCTGGACAGGAGAGCAGAGAAGAGCTAGGTACCTCCCTCAGTCACAGTTAGGATCAGCACCAGAGTACATAAGGCATTTGCAAAAAAACCCACAGGCAAAGTTATATCATAAATGGCTGTCTTACTGGGGACATCTTGAAGAAGCAGGTCCGAGGGAGGGAGGGGACCAACGGCAGCCCAGGAAGGGCTGTCGGTGCACGGGGGCAGGACAGACAGCCCTGGGGCCAGGGCGCAGACGTGAGCGAGTGAGATGCCGGGGCAAAGCAGGGCTGCAGCACAGGGGACAGGCAGGGAAAGGACCACTGGCAGCTGGGCTCTTGGCTTTTTAATAAAACTGTCCGTTTCCTGGCTTTTCTGCCTATGCAAAAGGTACCACATCCTAAGCCTTCCCCTCCTTGCATTTCATACATCCCCCATCTCACCCTACAGACACATAGAAATCCTGCCCTCTGATATCACCCATTTTCCTTCAGGTGAAGGTTTGACAACAACCTTGGAGAAAGGATGACTAACCCCACGTCCAAGGAAGGCGAGCATGGGGATCACGTTCTCCTGGGCGATGCATTGCAGGATCCTGGGTGCTCCGTAGAGCCCTCCCATGCAGGAGGCCAGGGATGAGATGTACAGCCCCAGCAAAAACAAGAAACCCACCAAGGACACCTGGAGGAAGTGGAGAGAATGCAAAGTTGATTATATTGTTCTTTAAAGACCCTTGAGCAGTCTTAAATACTTGTATTTTTAAGAGATCACATATATTTTGTAGGATTACTAAATGAACAGAGCGAGCCCTGGGAAAGCAGCAATTTAACTGGTCTATGGTATAAAGTGCAAGCAATTAATACAGGAAAATTATCCCATAAAAGTAATTTAATACTGAACATCCTGTACCAACAGAGCCATTTGACAAGCTCATATCCAAGAAATTCTTTGTCACTTGGAGCAATTGCAGCAAAGCAGCAGCTATCCGATTCCCCTTAAGTAACTGGAAGTGAGTTTATTTCAGGAGAAGTCACTTATATACAGAGCACACCATACAGGAAAAGCTGCCCAGGCTTCCAACCATCCAAAACAGGAAGACAAACCCCTGTGTCCCAGAGGGGAAAACCAATCCTGAAAGAAAATCCACAGTAAAACCAAATCAAAATTGCCACTTAAACAAATGGCATCTCAAAAAATACGCTCCGAAGGATATAATACAATGACCTTATTTTCCTGTCTTCAATGAGAAAAGAATTTCCTTTGGCCAACATGAAACTTAAAAAAAAGTCTTTAAAGCCACAGTGCTAACAAGGCTGGGTTTATTACGGGTTTCTAGTGAGCATTCTTTCAAATGGGGAGCATCTCCTGCAGACGCGGAGGGAAAGGAGAGGAGCTCGCGGTCCATCACACAGAAGCGAGGACTGGGGTCCCCCTCCACAGGTCAAGAGCTGCAAGCACATGCAGCATATCTTAAAAAACCCCACCCAAATACAGAAAACACCACAATATCAACACTTTGCAAGAAAGCTTTGAAATGGGAGTGTTCCTGGTACCATCGTGTAAGGATGTGGGCAGACACAGCCAAGGAGAGTAAGGTCTAGGGTCACCTGAGCCATCCCCTGCAAGACCACACGAGTCTGACAGCCAGCAGTCAGCCATAGAGAAAGGCAAAGCATGGGGAGTAACACCAGCACAAAGGCCAGGCAGGGAGAAAACCCCCAAATTTTGGTCCAGATCCATCCTGCCCATAGTCCACTGAAGCGAGCTGCTGGAGGTGCAGACAGACCTCCATGGCAGAGGATGTCACCGAATGCAGGTCCCCTGCATCCCACATGTCCTTTGCTCCCACCCCTCCTCTCGTGGAAAATAAGGTCTAAATGAACATGGGTCCTCCCAGCTTCTGCCCCTGTTGAAGTCAGCTGCCACATGCTTTATTAGAAGGAATCACAAAAATTTACATGGCTAAAGATGATTCAAGTTACATCTGCCTTTTCCTCATCTACGAAATCCACAAGCAGCCAAAAGAAGATTGGGTCAAAAGCCATAAAATGCTGGCTGTTGGGGGAAAGCATGTAAAATTAACATGATGTTCCAGAACCATACAAACTTCCTACCACAATATTTCTTTTCCCCATGAAAATCCACTTGGCCTTGTGAATTTTATCTTGTGGGACAGAAGAAACTTGAGGCATAGATGAGCAGATATCAGCTTCCATTAGACCAACGGACAGACACTCAATGAGGAATCTTCCCTTCCCTCTCCTCTAATCCTGCCCTGCTCTGAGAAATACTTGGAAGAAACAAACAGTTGTGCCAGACATCATATATTATTTCAGCTGCCAAAAATGCTTGCATTTAAATGTACTACTTGACATTCAAATCAGCGTTAGAGGGGAAGAGTCCTTTTCACCGAGGCTGATGAAAGGGTTTGCTGGGGGTTTTGAGCACGGAGAGCATGAATACTTTGCAAGAAATTGGCACTTCAAGCTCATTAGAAGTCAAATTACTGAATCTCATTTTTATGTTCAAAAAGCCAAACAAGTATTGTAAGGGAGAAAGGCAGCCAAGCACTCGCTCACCTGTGAGTGACAGAAAGGGAGAGTTTGGATGTGTAATGATCTCTCCCTCCTCTCTCTCTCCAAACAAAGTCATTAAAATCTAAAGAAGCTTGTAATAACTCAAAGAAACAACATGAATATCGGGATTGCACCATCGTTTTGTTCCATACTAGGGAAAAGAAAACTGAATTTGCTTTCTTGGGATTTTGTGTGTTTGTTTATGTTTAACATTATTAAACGTCTTTACTTTCTTTACTGGGAGATTTTTCATTTCCCCTGCCCCGAGGGTTTTGAAGTTAACACACAGCTTTAACGATCTCTTTCTCTTCAGCTGATTTATTTAAAGCTGATTCTTTCAGTTACTGTACTTTTCACCCACTAAGTCATTGACATACAGAGACGTTGCCGTAAAGAAGGTAGGCTCATTCTTTTTGTCCCTGAAACAAAGATGATTTTTTTACCTTAGCAGGAAGTGGTAGGAGCCCCACCAATAATTTTGAGTTTATTTGTGGGGCTGAAAGAAGTCTAGAGCTACAATTACTTAGAAAACAAAGCCAGAGTTTCAAATTGATATTTTAGATTAAAACCACGTTACAAATCAAATAAATGGTAAACATCTCAATTTTAGATCAATCACAAGAGATAGTGTCAAATATGGTAAAGCCATGATTTTGGATAATGCTGAATAACAGAAAATATCCCATTTAAAGTAAGACAATGGCACACACCAAAATCTTCTCCTCTCTTTTTAAAGGCCTGCAATGATAAGGTTCATTGCCTGTAACACTACAAACCTCCCTCATGTATATACACCCATGTGGAATGTCTTGAGTTTAATAATCTTATTGCTCGCCCTGCAATTACAGCCCGCTAGATATGGAAATGTAAGCTTTGCTTGACTTAGTAAAGATACGCAGTGGGGTTCTTTAGAGATTTCAATTTGGTCTAAGCTTTCACGAACGAGAAAGGATACATTGAACAAAATACAGCATTTATCATTAGACCTCATTAGCATATTTTAGCTTTTAAAGCTATTGGCAGGTGATTATGCCAAGATTCAGCATTACTGGATATGCTGGTGAATGCAAAGCTATTCAAATCAACTGTACACTGGGATTTGCAATGGGGAAATCCCTCTGAATTTCAATGAGGGATGCATACCTAAATTTCTTAGGTTTTTGGAAAATTCAAGCAGTCAGTAAGGCAGATGGCAACCCGAAAGTACCATTATATAAAACCACGCTGGGTTATTCGAACAAGTTACCTTCTCTGCTATCATGAAGTCATAGCGGAGTGACTGACGGGTACAAACGGCTCCCAGCAAAAAAACAAAGACCATGTACAGAAACCACCTGCAAACAATAAAATTAAACTCTTTTTTTGCAGCAAGACAAGACCACTGAGAATTCTGCCCATTAGCAGAGCCAGGAGACGGTCAAGTACCCACAAGCTGGGTCTTCAATCACTCTGCATGGGCTGTTTCTGCACGATTTAGCCTCAGGGCTAAATTTAACAGCAGCCCACGCTACTTACCCACTACAATGTACCAGGGACAGCTGCAGTGTGACCGTACGGTACCCCTGAGGGGAAGCTACCCACACTCTTGATGTGTGCATGGGGGGAATAACCCAGTACTGGGCACAGACATTTTAGTAGGGCCTGTTGCAATAGGACAAGGGGTAATGGTTTTAAACTAAAAGAGGGTAGATTCAGACTAGAGATAAGGAAGAACTTTTTTACAATGAGGGTGGTGAAACACTGGAACAGGTTGCCCAGAGAGGTGGTAGATGTCCCATCCCTGGAAACATTCAAAGTCAGGCTGGATGGGGCTTTGAGCAACCTGATCTGGTTGAAGATGTCCCTGCTCATTGCAGAGGGGTTGGACTAGATGACCCTTGAAGGTCCCTTCCAACCCAAAGCATGCTATGATTCTGCAGGTACACAGGTCCTCTCATCTGGCAGTAACGTTAAACACCGCAGCCAGTCTGCTCTGCAACCTTGGTCATGACCCTCCTCTATTGTCTCCAGTCTTTCCAGTATGCAGGCGGAGGGATAAGCTAGTCTGTCTGCAAAGCCTAGGCAGCAGAGATGTGAATGACCACAGTCCATCCATCCGTGATACTTCTGTGTCCTGTGGAATCCCCTCACTTCAAACAAGCACCAATTTCAGTAGGAATCCTTCTCAACTGTGAAGATCCTTCCTTTCTGTCTGAACCTTGGTACGCAATTAAAAGTAATAATTCCAAAAGCAATTGAGGTGGCAATGAAAGCAGGCAGGAAAACCTATTGAGTTGGGTTTTTTTAATATGTAACAGTATTTTACTACTGGAAAGCAGCATTTCCTGAGGGAGAACACTGCTTGGGGATTAGGGCTCCTGCGTTCCCCTGGCCTTGCACGTGGGTAGGTCATCTCACCTACCTTGGCCCATGTTCTCAATAATAAAAATTACATTTTTAAAAATCTTTTATCTTTTTTATATTTTCTAGTTATACAGAAAAAGAAAACACTTCGAAATCAACAGCAATAAGTGACAAAATCATGCACCCTAAGCCTTTGACAGCTTCGTGTGCCATTCTGGGACAGCCAGGCTGCAGCAGCACAACCGCTCTAGCACCAACACACATCCCACTTGGCGGAGGAAGGACCGAGTACATCCGTGTTAACGAACCCTTCTCTAACGCACTCAGAGTAGGCGGTGGTAATGGATGATAATTTGAATGAGAGCCAGACTTTAATTTTCCAGTTGGCTGAGTAATAAAAGGTTGATGGGAATATGAAATGGATTGGTCACATCCAGGGCAGCCTCCAAAGAGTAAATTTTCCCCAATCTATGACTTACGAGGTGGCAATAGCGGCCAGAGACCCCAGGGGGATGTTGGTAGCAGGCTTCTGGAGATCTCCGCTCATATTGAACCCAGCCATCACACCTGTATTTTGTAGACATAAATGCAATTTAGAGTTAATCAAAGTTATAGCATATATAATACATATTACAATATGTAATATAATTTAATCAATCAGTTAACTGATTGCTTCAGAACAGTAACTATATCACTTCATTGCACTGCCACACACACAAATACTGGCTGCCATCAATTCCTTGGTAAGAAACTGTTCATGTCTTTAATAGAAGCAAACCACCACTAACACATCTACAAAGAACCCTTTGTCCAGACTGAACAATGCTGGGGGATAAAAAAAAAAAAAAAAAAAAAAGGCAGAAATCTGAACAAAACCCATCTTATCTTAACACAAACCTCACAGAAGACAGTGCTGTCCAATTGTTGAAAAGAAAAATGCTACCGTTCATCACAGCAGTGCATTCAGCAGGTGGTACTACCCCCCCCAGACCAGATCCATTACAGGTCCCTATATTCATGGGGGACAACCACCACTACAAAATGTCCTGTCCTGTCCATGTTTAATGATGATCACATGCACATTTAGCAGAGGGAATAACAGTGCTCAGCACGTAGGTGGTACCTTCCAGCCAAGGGATCTGCTTTGGAAGTAGGTATTATCTCTACTTTGCAGATAGGAAAACAGAAGCACTGAGAGGGCAAGTGATTGCCCCAGCATCATGTAGAAAACACGTGGTAGGACTACGAATAAAGTACTGAACTGTTATTTTAGGCCAGAGTACAGGGCATTGTACAATCAGGGACAGTAATTTTTTAGGCTAAGGACTATCTAAAGACGCAAGAAAGGGAAACAGGACAGAGCAAAGGATTACAGACTCCATGTTGAGGTTAGGAACTCAAGGTACAAATTGGTTATGAGGCTTTGCTCATCATTGAAGAAGGAGTCATACCAGATTTGGCAAGAAAACAACTTCTCTTGTCACATTATCCCAAAACTTTTCCTCGTAGACTTCAAAAATATAAATAAAAATCTGTGATTTAGAATCCCGATGAGAATTTGGACAATTTGAAGGCAGGAGAGAAGAGCCTCTTTAAGAAATTAACTTCTGCCCATCACTGTCCCACCCCTCAGATGTCAGACTAACTTCTCCATAAGGACGTGTGGGCCAGGGGCCAGCCAGCAGCGCTCATGGGATGGTCCCTGGGAGCCAGGGTGAGATCACCACAGAACAACAATGAGAAAGACGATGCCAACGCCACGGGGCTCGCAGCATCTGCCAGCCCCAGCAGCAGGGGACCGTCAGTCTGCCACTTGGCTGCCAAGTCCAGCAGTCATTCCTCATTTTCAGAGGGCACAAGAATGACAAAGTCAGTCTCTGAGGCTACAAATTTGAGTGATTACAGCTCTAAATCAGCATCAACCCCTTGCATTTTAAAGCTCAAACATTGGTTGCTGCTTGGGAGGGTTTTCTCCCAAGACAAAGAGTAGACAGGAGCCACAGGACAAATGCCAGGGCAAAGGGGACAAACCCAGCTCAGCCAGATGGATGCCCTCCCTACAGACCTTGCACGGCCACTGATGGACTGCCAACAGGGAGCAACAGTTGGGGTGCTAATTGAGGAACAGGAGCTCATCTCCCGGTTCTGTCCCAGGCTTTGTTGTGCATCTTCATAGCTCCATCTCCCTGTCTGGTTGGTGGGAATCATAACACTTCCTCTCCTCGCTGTGCTGCCATGAGGATAGCACATTAATGAGTACAAGGCACTCACATGTTGCCAAATACATCGGCTGAGCATCCAGGGCTTTATTTACTATTCATTTTTTTTCCTTGATCATCTTTTTTTTCCCCTTGATCATTCCACTCAGCGGCCATCTTTTTCTGTCCTCCTCTCCACCACGGAGCCAGAGCCCCAACAGCCGCTCCCTGCTCCCCACGGGCTCCTGGCATTCCTCAGCTCCTGGAAGAGCTGTCTTCCAGATTCAGACCAGATTTGAATCCTTGACACCATACCGAAAACATTACAAATCAAAATGAGTTCTTAATTTTCTCCTGGAAGACTATTCTGTGGATGTACTCCTGAGCAGCACTGCTAAAAGCCCGTCAACTGGTGTGCTTTTCCCCAGATAAAGCTTCCAAGTGCTGTTCAAGCACTGCTCCTTTTAAACAGCTAAACAATAGGCTTAGCTGGAGGTGAGCAATGTTAGGAAGGCAGAAGTCCATAGAAATGGTCATAAACATCATGCTAAATAAAGTCTCTATGAAACACTCTTTGGTGACATGCTACTTTGCAATTCAGAAAGCTGGGAATACTCTGAATTTTTCTTCCAAAGGGAGCAAACTGTTGTCAGAAGGACAGCTGTTAATCCCATGTGCCTCTTGGCCAAGTTTCCCAAATATCTGGCACCACCTCTAAATCTTCCAGCTTGAGCTTGACTCACCTCTTCCTCATCCAAACTCCTGCCTCAGCAAAGCACTGGGAAAACACCAAAATGGCGTTTTCCGGACTGAATATGAAAAAAGGTTGAAGACATGCGAGTCATCGGCACAGCGATGGCTGCACAGCCTAGGTTGCCTCATTGACTCCCTCCCACAGACACACAAATTCAGGAGCAGCCAGGAGATGACCTGCCAGAGCCCACATAAACAAGATCTTGAGATCAATGACCAACCTCCTGCCCGCCAGCAAAGAGGGGTCAGACCCAGGCCAGTGCACCCCATCGGCTTCTGTCAGGACCCCCAGGAGGTCACCAGAGTCTCATGGCTTCAACTGCCAAAGGCCAAGGGCACCACAGAGGGAACCAACAGACATTCTCAGCCACTCAGGCCAAAGCCTTCTCCTCCGTGCTGCAACTATGCTTCTGACCCAACTAGTACAAAAGCATGGGCAATCTGGTAGTACAGACGCATCGAGAACGCCAAAGCCACTTCTTCACCATCACCCAAAAAGTAATTTTCCAGACAGGATGACAGTTGCCAAAGAGAAGTACTGAGAAGGTCTTTTGCAAGCAGCAGACTAACCACCCCACTTTTCAATGAAAGGACAACCTAATTAATTTTAAAAAACCCCAAAACTAAACAATCTCCACCATCCATAGCCTCAGTCACCCCTTGCCAGAGAACTGGTCTGACTTGCGAGTAGCCACAAACAGCCTTTTCAGAGACTCTAGCTACTCAACAGAAGAAAAACCCTACATTTGCATATAAAATTCAACAGCGTAGAGAAGTTGGGACGCTCCTTCCTCCAGACACAGACCTGTCCCTAGGGAAATGGCCAATCTCTTCTGAACTCAAGCAATCGTATCTGCAGATTGTCCATGGAGAAAATTATCCACCTCTCTGTTTCAATGAGATAGCAGGCTGGATTTTCCACACTGGCTATTATCTCAGAGAGCAGCAGATAATGACAAAGCTTCTGGACAAGGAAGCATGAAAACACGGTCGACTCAGCCAGGAAATTATGGCTGAGACAGTCTGTACATTGCTGCTATTCCCAGCATAATCCGGTGCTGGGCATCATCCAGGCGGTGGATACGTGCATGAGGGGACCACCTACATTGTACGTCAGACACAACCATCAGCTCCACCAGCTCTGGCTTCTAACTCCACCAGCTATGGTTTATAACTGTAGATATACTGCTTGCAAACACCTATTGCATTTTCCAGTGAATTTACTATAAAATATAAAAGGATTTTTTTTTTCCTTCGCCCAAGAGACGGTTTATAACTGTAGATATGACTCCTTGCAAACACCTATTGCATTTTCCAGTTAATTTACTATAAAATATAGAAGGATTTTTTTTTTCCTTCGCCCAAGAGATGAAGAATGGAAAATCTTAGATAAGAATTGTAGTTAATTTTTTAGAAGGGCCAAACTCTCCACTGATGTAAGCTGGCACCTCTCCATAGACTTCAATGGAGTTGTGCCAGTTTACATCATCTGATAACTTCACCCAAAACTTCTAAATCTATTTGCTGTCATTTTGCAAGCACCAAATATGGTTTATTTCAGAGCTGTTTTCAGTACGATGATATTTTCCACTAACGCCACTTCAAACGTCGTCTTACTTTCTCGTATCACATGACAACACACTTCTTTCATTAGACCGAAAACCTCATGGATTTAGTAGAAAAAGAAAAACATTCTCTGCACAACAGAAACTATGATTAACTTCATTTTCAAAATGCATTGATGGTTGCCTGGCTGCTGCTAGGAGCTGAACATGGGCAGGCAACTCCCGAGACTCCCCCATGCAATGCCCTGGTTAGATGGGTGTTTGTGTATCACAGCACAGCAGCAAAACATGTACATTAAGAAGGTATTTACAAACATGCAGAAAAACATCTGGTTAACGCACAGATTCTCTACAGGGGTACGTTCACATCTTCCGTAGTGAGTACATCAGTCTTTTTGATTGAAGCTGGCAAATCTGAGTCTTCCATGCCCATGCACTCATGTTTAGGCCAGCTCTAGATGTATGTTTTGGATTGCTCAGCTATTTCGCTTATTATTAAATTACAAACTTGGGGGAATAAAGCCAGTTGCACTGCACATCCAGCTGAAATGGTTTGAACAGCTATTACCCAGGAAGCAAACACATCAGCCTCTGCTTACCACCACTCAACTCTAAAACCGGGATAACTTCACTCAGGTTGTTGGAGTCGTACCAATAAAACACAGAGAAATAGAGAAAATAACCCGACCTGGAGCAAAACAACCCAAGGAAAAATCTCATAGGAGGCAGTATGTCAGTACCAGTCTATGAAAGGCTGGGACGACCATCCCATCCCCTCCAGCCAAAGCACACACCCGGCTGCTCCTCCGTTCCTCCTGCCTCTTCCATCCCGGCAAGGGTCTTCCCATAGGTCCTGCTCCCCTCTCCTGATGGGGCTGCCCCTCTTTGCTTTTACAGCTACCAATCTGTATTTCTGAAGTTTCCATTTCATTGCTATTTCTGATAGAAATGGGCAACTTAAAACCACTTTTCAGTAGATCCCAAAGACCAAATTTAAATCAGTTGAATTCAAATAACCATTTCAGATGGAGAGGAAAGAGCTTATCCTGAAGAGAACAAAATAGTTTCACTACAAAGAGAAACATTTCATCTCAGAAAGGCCCAAACATCTTGTTTCACAATTTCCTAAACATCTTTTTAAAAAACTTTGTTATCAAAACAGCATCTTAGATTGTAAACTAGCATATGCTAAAAATTAAAAAGAGTAAACACAACATTTAATAATTAAAGATAAACAGAACATTGCTTTGGGTCAAAGAAATGTTTCAAACTGGCTCGAAGTAACCCCTCAAAACTAAACAATGTATTGTTTTGCTGAAACTCTCCCTGAATTTCTGTTGCATCTCAGCACAAAAGATTTTGCTTCCAGTGCTTTGGCCGGGTCACTGTGAGGATTCCAGCAGGGGCGGGTACCACTTGGAATGGTGCTGGGCAGGAGCAGTGGCTGGAGGTGACAGCCTGAGAGTGATGTTCATGTGTCCCTGCCACTCCTTTTCACGCGGAGGTGCTGGGGATTGACACTGCCATTCGCTCGCAAACTACATCACGCTGCCTGCCCTGCATCAGAGGCGCTGGCAATCCTATTGCATCTCTCCAGCCTGCTATTAATGCCACTGCCAAACCCATCCCTGAAACACCATCTCCGATCTTGCAGACCGCCTGTCCTGCTGGTGGGCTCGGGTTGCGTCCAGGCAGCACCCACAACACGGTGGGAAGCAGTAGCACGCGGGACCCCAAGAAACCTGGGTTCCCGTCTGCAGCCCTAACATTGCATCCCCATCGTGGGGGAGGAGGTGAGCTAAGCCAGCGTGGGTCAGGCAGGACATGGGGGGAACCAGCCCTCACTCCTTGCCCCAGCCCTAGGAGATGTGAGCTTTATTCCCAGCACTTCTGAAGTTGCACTGGGTTCCCCATTTGGGATTTGTAGCAGAGAAGTCTTGACTCTCACCCTAAAAATTTCTTAATCAGATCACAAGTTCTTCCATGTAGAACACGAAAACAACCCTACGTTTTATGAGGCTCCTGAACTCTGCAGTGCTACAAGCAGCAGTAACAGGAGCAATAGCGATGTTATATGGTACCTCTGGCACCGCTACTCCAAAGGAATAATATAAAACCTGTAAATAACCAAGCAATTAAAAAGAACATATGAAAAAGCTGTGCAGCAACCAAAGTAATTATACATCAGCTCAAATTGTATTTTCAGAGAATGTTTAACATTACTACTGGTGTTCCTACTGCTAACTAACAAAGCAACAGGCTGCCAGGGCTTTACATAAATTATATCTATTAGCTTTGGCATTCTTCCTAGCAGCCAAGCATTAGCAGTGATGAAGAACCATTTAATATGGCTAATCACGGTAATTTTCTGCACAGCTTTCTCATAACTATTCCTTCTTCTGTAACCAGGGAGCTGGAATAAACTGCTTTCCTGCATCAGAAGCAGGGCTCACGAGGAAGGTCTCTCTTTGGCTGGGGGACTCACTTGGGCCAGGTAGAAATGACAAAAAATAAGGTAGAAGCCAACTTCTCCACGGTGCCAATAGTTCAGGCAGGTGAGCTTTCCAGGAGGAAGTCTACATGGAGGCAATAGCCAAAGATGGGAGAGAGGATTTCAAAGGAAAATTTGAAGTCCTGCACTAGGTGCACCTGACAAAGCGATGACTTCTGCTACCAGACCACTTCTCCAGTCCCATCTGTTTCACAAAACCCTTTAGTTTGTCTCCCTGTACCACAGCAATTCTGCAAACAACTTCCTGCAAGTTGCTTACAGTTAATCCTCTGAAAACTCATTCTGTAATCCAAGGATTCATCGCTATGGAAACTGCTTATAATCAGTACTTTTTATAGCTTAAAAAACCCAGCATCAACAAAAGGTATTGTAACTCCAATTGACAGTTATTTCATTCCCACTGGAGATTGCCAGCTTTGGAAAACGGACATGGATCTTCCTGGTAATTTAAGGGAATGAATAATATGAAAGTATCCAATTAAGCTCATGAACGTGAGCTCTGCTGACATGCAAAGATGCATCTGTGACACCATGCAGAGAGCGGTGAGTCAGCATCACAGGCAATGACATCAGCCCATCTCAGCCACCTGCCCATGGTAAGGATGGAGGGAAAGCCCTCCTGTGCTCTTCCCCGGCTCCCAGTGCAATCAAGTCATAAGGCTTATCTAATAAGACATATCACGTTCAGCCCTTTTAAAAAGGCTTGATACCTTGTGGCCTGACAGCACCGGCCAAGATCAGTGTCTGAGGCTTGTCCTTGGCAGGGAAGGATTTATACCACCATGTCAACCCATAGAGTTGACCAGCAATTTCTGACCACAGAGAGACAGAAGAGCACATTGAAGTGAACAGGACGGGAGTGTGCAAAATTTGAGATGCTGGAGGAAAGCCTTAACATTTTGAATCAATCACATGAGTCTGTCACAGCCGAGTACGGTCCTGCTCACCTCGCCTTGCAGCCCAGAGGAATTCCCCTTGCTTCTGCTCATCTCCGAGATGTGACTGTAAAAAGGAGGATAAAACTTAACTGTACCTGTGGCAGCTGGGAAAAACACTCCAAAAACAGTGAAGAAGGACTCCCCTTGGCTGTAGTCCGGCAGTGTGTTGTTGAACATAAGCTCTTCGAAGCCATGCTCTGCAAAGACACGGAGGGCGAGAGGAGAACCTCAGAAACCACAGCAGATCCTCCAGCCTGCTCTCGGCGGTCACCCGTCCTCTAAACATATGCAACAGCAGCAGCTGTTTCCAGGGCTAGTTTGAAAGGATGAATGTCAACTTATTTTGGCGGGGGAGGAAGAAAGCAGAGAAGAGGTCAGTGTGGTTATGAGGGTGCAAATGCCAGGGAAAGGTGCAGCGGTGCAGGCTGGGCAGCAATCACCAAACCAGGACACAGATTGTATGGAGTCCAGTCTGCAAGCAAGCAGGACATCTTCCTGTAAAACCTACCACAGAGAAAAACTAGCTGCAGGGATCAGCTAATATTTATACATTTTATCCATGCCTTTCCAAATAGAGCAAAATTATGCTGCCATAAGACCACCGCATCCCTGAGCAAGCCCTCACACTGTATCCCAATTCTGTACTTCTGCCAGTCAAGCTCCTGCAGAGACAAGACCTGAGATGTGCCCGTGCCGTGAAGCTGCTACCAACACACCCAGTTTATACACCGGTTACCAATAAGCCCAGAGCCACCAAAGCCACTCCGTTGCAGGGTGGGCTCTCCCCTACAAAACGGGTTTCCCAGTGGAGAAGGAATAAGGTGCTCAAACTACCCACTGCCACGTTGGGCACTTACCCTCCTGAAGCCATCGCTCTCCTGTTGCTGTGTTATCATCTCCAAACCAGGGCTAACACCCAGTTTATACACCGGTTACCAATAAGCCCAGAGCCACCAAAGCCACTCCGTTGCAGGGTGGGCTCTCCCCTACAAAACGGGTTTCCCAGTGGAGAAGGAATAAGGTGCTCAAACTACCCACTGCCACGTTGGGCACTTACCCTCCTGAAGCCATCGCTCTCCTGTTGCTGTGTTATCATCTCCAAACCAGGGCTAAACATGGGGCTGTGCATCATGACCAGCTGCCCCTCTCCCAAATCTCCTGCCAATATTTATCATGGCACAACAAGGACCAAAAGCCAAGACCTTGGGCTGTGCTCCGCTCCCCGCACTGACTTCTGCCAAGTCTTTCCAAGGTCATACACACACAAGTTTTACTTTCCAAACAAAAAGTTTTACAGAAGATGGGCGAGAGGGGAAACCAATGGGTAGGATGTCAAGGTCATGCAATTGGTTTGCTGGGTATGAGATGGAGGATCCTACTCCCTCATTTCACACTAGAAACAGGTCAAATTCTTCCACAGACCTGGATTTGTTAGGAATAGTTGAGCTTGACAGCTGACGTGCTGGCAGGGCATTTATTAGGAAAGGTTTTAGATGCTTACAGGTAGAAAAGATAACTCATAAAAGCAAGTTAAGGAATTAATGATACGTCTGTGAAATTAATAATTTCATTTTCAACAGGCAACACTGCTTTTTAAATGGAGTATCTTAATCTGTGGAAACTTCTCCTCCCTGTCAGTAATCCAAATGCTCGTGCCAGCTGGGGGTGGGAGGTGAGCAAAGTCGGTTCCTTTTTTTTCTCCTGCCACTACAATATATTTCCACAAGACATGTGACTGCAATAACTTGAATTTTCTCATTAGCAGGCAGGATGTTGTTTATGGCTGCACAGGGTGATGGCCAGAAATTAAAAAAAGACTCCATCAAAGCTGTCCCATGCCTCAAAGACAATATTAACGATGTTTGGATAATAGATTAAACCGGAAAATTAAATCAGATCTCTGAACACAAGACACATCCATTTAAAGTCTCAGAATATAACTAACCACAGAGCTTTGAAGTTGCCACAGAAAAATCCTATAGATAATCAAAAGTTTCCTACTCCATCTGCCTTCATTGTGCTGCCCAAATATGGATGGAAACACACTGATAGAAGATGTCTCCTGCTGCTAGGCTTTTTAAAAGCACCAGCTATCTTCACTAGGAACAAGTCCCAGACGAGATTTAAAGGGAATAAGCTCAGCGCAACACACTGACCTCTGGACCTCACAGATGTCTGCAGAAAGTGCGGCTTCTGGAGAAATAAAGAGGGGATTTGTGTAGGCTGTACGTTCCCAAAAGAGCAGACCTGAGCTCCTGCAACTGGAATTTGTGCCCACGATGGCACAGCACGTGGGCTGGTTGCAAAGTTCCCACCAAACTGCTTGAGGAAAATTTCGGCCCTTGGCCAAGGGTTTTTTCCCAAAGTACGTGCTCCTCATAGAAATGTTAATGTTTCATTAGTAAAACAGAATAAGTGGGCAAAATATTCATCTCACCCTAAGGAGATCCGCAGGCCTTCTCCAACCTGTGCTTCACAGCAGCAGCATCAAATATATCTATGACAAAAGTTTGTCTCATCGATTCTTAAAAAAAAAATCTCCTGTGGACTCTAGCCTCTCTTGACGGTTTACTCTCATATTTTCCTGTCTTTATCATTTAGGTTTCCCCTACTGTCTAACCAAAACACCCTGTTTGAAGTTCATGATGCTATTTCTTGCCTGATCCATAAGCTATTGGCATTTTTTAATATCATCCTTTCACCTACTGGAAACAGTCCCCATCCTGCACTGGCGCAGTCGACCATTTCTGCCAGGTTGTAAAACTTTATGTTTATCTTCATCAATCCACAAATCGTCCTTTTCACACCACTTCCCCAGCTTGTGTGAGGTCATCTAGAAGTCTGACCCTCTCAGCCAGGCTGCTGCGAGCCCTTCCCAGCTGGGGGTCATCTGCAAACTGAATCTGTGTATTCTCTTTTCCATCATCCAGGCAGTTAAGGAAAATACGAAATAACACCAAATCAAAACCAGACCCCTGCAGAACCTCATCAGGCACAGCGTCCTGCTTTGTCAGTGAACCATCTCCAACTGGAGTCTTCCAACCAGGTTTTGGGGCTGTATAATTGAATGATGGGTTGACCCAGGCACTTTGGGTGCCTTATGGCTCCCTTCTCATACAAAAGGCCAAGTATACAACATTTTCTGTGATACCATTTTGGCCATACCATGGCCAAAGAGAGACTGTGAGACCCATGAGTCCGATGTCCGATCTGCACCTGTGTGCACCTGACCCCTATCAGTCTTTAAAAGCCAAACGATCCCTTGTGCTCCATCCATTCGTCTGCTGTTCCCTTTCCTACTTTATCCCCCTCTGCGTAAATCCTCAGCGTAAATCTGAGATCATGGCAGGTGTCACTGGAACCACAGAAAATGACAGCCATGGATTTGTTGAAAGAGCCACAGGATGCGCCTACAACTCCATCCCACTTCTGCTTCCTTTCCTCACGGCTCTGGCGGGTGAAAGGAAGCCCAGCCATTCCACATTTCCCCTTTACACAGAACCAAGAGCTTTCTTGTCTAATTAAAGAAAAGTTCATCCAAATGTTACTTGTCATTGCAACTTCATTTCTCAGTCAATCACCCTCCCGTGATTGCACGTGCCTTTTGATCGGTTTTACATCAGGATTTGCAATTGACATCAATTTAAGCAAGCTATCGGCACGCAACCGCAGAGTCGAGAACGACACGCTGTGAGCATCTCCTGCCTGTCCTCGTGCCTGAGACCAGAGCAAGTCATCTGTGACCTTTCAGTTGTCATATTAATGGGACTAATTGTAGCTGACGGGGCAATTGGGCTGAAAATCATCCAAAACAAAACAGGAATCAGCAACTGAGACCAATTGGTTAAACCAACAGAGCACTCGGTCGGTTGTTCACAGAGTCAATTATCCACATCCCATTGAAAGTGCACTTCAAAAGGACGAGCTTCGGAAGGAGGAGGGAAGGAAACACGATAGGGTCTATATTTGGTGCTCTGATCTCCAAACAAGGCAAGATCTTTTTATTAATTTTTTTTTTTTTCTTGGATCTTTTCCTCCAGCTTACTGCCGGGTACATGAGATCCAAGATAGATTCCTCCCTTCTCACTCATTACAAAATGTTTGTCTGACAAATTTTGCTCTGAATTAATTTATGCAATCCCACAGCCTCTGAATCCTGTCTTTAACGATCCCGCTCTCAGTTGGCTTGCAGAGGGCTGGAGCTGAAGTGCTATAAACAATCTTACAGTGTCGTGCTAGAAGGAAAAGAATCCAGTTCCCTCTCTGTGCTGCATCAGCCTTATGGGAAATGCACAATAAAGAGTGGTAACAATTTATTTTCATCATTAGATACTCACTAAGGAGCAGGCAAATAATGAGTTTCTCAAGTGGTTGAGCTGAAATAAATAAACAACAGGGGAAAAAAAAGACTTAGAGTAACATCTGATTCATTCCTGTGATTTTTGACAAATTAAGTCCTTTCAGTTGCCCTTATTAAAATGATGTAATAAGCAATAAAAACCACCTGGCAAGTTTCAAATGGAAGAGCCTCCAGCATGAGCATCCTCCATTCACAAGCACAAGGGGACCACAGGCGGGCTGCACATCAGCCCAATGCAGGCTGAGGAGGAAGAGGAGGAGGAAGATGGCCAGGATTCTCATGTCCCCCCAACCACCATGGATGCTTGGGAGGAGGTATCAGCCTTTGCCTGGTTGCCACCACTGCATTCCCCCTCTGCCCCAGCTGGTTTCCATGTTTGAGTTTTTCTTGCACTTTCTCCCACCTCTCGCCCCGTGGAAGAAGATGAAAGCAACCAAGGAGGTTTTCGGCACTCAAGACACCCCTTAGCAGGGCGGTCCCTCCATGAAGCCTGGGGTTTCAGAGCGGGACTCAAGGAGGTTGGAGAAGGGGTGCAAGGCAAAGCTGTGGTTACGCGGGGTCAGGCCATTATGCAACGGCACAGAGGACAACAGCGCTGCCAAGTTCCAGGCAACCTGGAGCTCATTACAGATTAGTCAAGTCTTGGCCAATTTCAATAAGCCTGTTCACAAGCTTAAGGTTAAGTAAACCCTGGCATCGAGGCAGGGGCTAAATAATGCAAAAATGGAAAACCACCTTAAGAAACGGTTCCCAGAAGACGGTCACGTATTGTGCTCTGCCTGCGATTAGAGATTTTAATTATGAAGGTGAATGCTGAAGGCTTGAAATGGTGAGGTT